GTGATGGAAAATTTTCCCTTTGGGATTGTTCCATCAGCCATGGCTGTTAGCAGAGCTGGGATTTTTGGGTTGGATTTAGGATTGGGATTGGGTTCAGTGTGTGGATTGGGCAAGGAGAGGCAGGAAATGGTTTTTCCTGGTTTTTCACTGGAAAAGCAGTGAGGATGAGGAGGGTGAGGGTGGCTGTAGGGCCCACCTCTGTGACCCTGTAGGTGACACTTTTTTGGCACCACARTGATGCAGGAACCCCTTCTCCCTCTCTCCACAGCCTCCTCCCAAGCTGCCCAGCGGAGTCTTCACGCAGGATTTCCAGGAGTTTGTAAATAAATGGTGAGGATTTCACCTCCTGGCTGAAGGGGGAGGCCTGGACGTGCTCCCTGCCGGCTCCACCCTCCTCCTCCTGCCTTGGGAAGGGCTGCAAAAAAAGCAGTGAATTTGTGGGGCTGCTGARCAGGATCCCAAAATCCTTCTAAATSYGAGCCTGGCAGTGGTGGGGGATGGAGCAGATCCTGGGGCTGAGTCACCCCGTGGGCACAGAGACACCTGAAGGTGCTGCCAGAGCTGCCAGGGGTTGGAGATTGTGGAATTCTGCCAGGATTTGGGGTCTTTTCTCCACTGGCAGGGCACAATCTGTGCCCCCAGCCTGGAGGAGATGGATCCTGCAGCTTTTTGGGATCCTGGGGAAGGAGGAGCAGCTTTGGGTGAGGAGAARCCTCTCCAGCCCCATCCATCCCCTGCAGGAATCTCACGGTGCCTTTGCTCTCTCTCATTTCAGCTTAATTAAGAACCCAGCGGAACGAGCGGATCTGAAGATGCTGATGGTGAGTGGGGTGAGGGTTTTGCTGCTGCTGTGGGGTGGTGCCAGCTGCTGCCCCATCCCAAAGGCTGCACAGTGCCAGGCTGAGCTCATGGGGCTGTGATGGGATCTCTGTGGGATCTCAGCCCTGCAGACCCAGAAATCTGTGAGCTCTGGGCTGATCCAACAGCCTGGGCAGCGGGGAAAGGGGTGAGACCCCACCTGCAGAGCCACCTGCAGCCCTGGGATCCCAAAATAAGGACCTGGAGCTGCTGGGGAGAGTCCAGAGGAGGCTCTGGGGATGCTCCCAGGGCTGGAGTCGCTTTGGGGTCAGGCTGGGAGAGCTGGGGGTGCTCACATGGAGAGGAGAAGGATCCAGGAAGAGCTCAGAGCCCCTTTTGGGGCCTGAAGAGGCTCCAGGAGAGCTGGAGAGGGACTGGGGACAGGGGATGGAGGGACAGGACACAGGGAATGGGGTCACACTGCCAGAGGGTGGGGATGAGCGGGATTTTGGGAAGGAATTCCTCCCTGGGAAGGTGGGAGGGATTCGAGGGACGAGTATTTTCCCAAAATCCCCTTTCCCCACCTAATCCACAGCAGCGGGATCCTCCCCCCTCCCCAGGGAACATCCCCCAGCTCAGGGCCGGTGTTTGGGATCGGGGATGGTCCGGGAGGGGCTGCTCTGACCGGGGATTCTCCGGGAGGGGCTGTTCTCACCGGGGATTCTCCGGGAGGGGCCGTTCTGACCGAATCTCCCCGCTCTGACCGAATCTCCCCGCTCTGACCGAATCTCCCCGCTCTGACCGAATCTCCCCGCTCTGACCGAATCTCCCCGCTCTTGCAGAGCCACACGTTCATCAAGCGCTCC